GAAGGGTCCAATTTCACAAAATCCACTTTCACTAATTCCGGTAAGTATTTGTATCTCGCTAACCGTTCTAGCTATTTGTACCAAACTCGGTATGGTTATTGTGCTTGCCACACAAAGGAAAACTCTTGAAAATTGTTGAAATCGGACTAAAATTACGGCCGCTTTTCATATAACGGTAAATTTCAGAAATGCTTGAAATTTCAATATTTCGAAATTTAAGGACGCTAATTTACTTAAAATTTATACACCCCGGCTTAGCATGTAGCGGTAGCTTTCGAAAAGGTGGAAAACATATATTTAATACTTGCGCCGGGTATTTAATGTTCGGCTCCGCCCGAACTTAGACTTTCTTACTTGTTTGATTTCTTTTTAACACAAATGAGAAAAATTTTTACGTTTTGCTTAAAAATTTTAAGAAGTGTAATGGAGCCAGTGCTGTCAACTACATAATCTCGAGTAAAAAATCCAGATTTTTATAAAAACCCGCTAGAAAAAAAGCTAAATTCCACAAAACAAAAGCTGAGAAATAAATAGGTTTATATTCATATAATTTTAATCAAATTCATTTGAAACAATACTTGAAATTAAAATGGATAATCGAATAACGCAGCTGGGATCGAAGTTCACCTGAAATGAAAAATAAGAATAAAAGTTAGCATACATAACTATATATAAGTAAAATAACGTTAATTTTTGGCATTTTTTACGGTGTCACTAATTTTCTTCCATACAAAGTGTGTTCGATTTTTTTTTTTTATATGGAAGAAAATGAGCACAGTCAACAAAAAAAATGCCAATAATCAACGGTAATATGTTTCGGTCTTATAATTATGCACCGCAGTGTACTATTAACTATAACGATAACTCGGGGCTTTTATTACCTGGGTAGGCGGGTATTACCAATTCGCCCGGGTACCCGGGTAATATACATATCGTCGTTTAAAGTGCAAAACCGCGTATCAACAAAATGCAAAACCGCGTATCAGCAAAATGCAAAACCACGTATGTGAGGTTGCATAAATTATTTTTTAGAGAGTAAAAACACTCATATTTTAAAATGGTTCTCTTTTTTCGATTGAGCCAAGAGCTTGCGTGAGTAAATCCAATTTTTGGCAGCCAATGTCAGTTACGCGGTTTTGCAGAATGGCAATACGCGTTTTTGTACTTTAAACGACGATATGTCGGTGCCGGTTAAACGAAAAAACACCCGGGTAATGCGACATAAAGCTTCCTATTTGAACTTTTTCGTACATGTGTACATATGAACATATGTATGTAAACATATTTTAAAAATATTAAATATTAATATTTTATTTAAAAGCAATATTAAGTATTGCCGGACACTTCTAGACGGCAGAAACTTCTGCCAGATGCTCCAAAATATGCAAAAAGTTAGAAACTTACCCAGTTGTAAAATGGGAATGCGTTACCTTTTTCTACCAAGAAAAGATTAGCAACTACGGTTGAATGAAAAGATACATCGCAATGTAAGCGAGCGGATGATGTGTAGTTTTGAACTCACAAACAAAACAAAAAGTTTGAAAGCTAACTAAAGGATGGATGCGTGTTCGACTGCCGTATTGTTGGTCACGGCTTCAATTAATTTTTTTATTAATTCTATTTATAGTTTCGTAAAGCGACATGCGACACAGAACCTTCGTGTGACATCGCATTACTTTTAGCATTCCCAGACATTACCTTTTCCCACTGGGCACATACATGCATTCATACTTACAAACATACATATGTTTGCACATATACATACGTACTATATTTTGTGACTAAAACCTGGGATATTCATATGCACTGTCCAAGAACTTAAGCACAACTGTGCATATACACATGAAAGGTGTTCGGGGTATGCTTGACTCACCGGATGGGTCTGGCTGTTTACAAAATGTTGCAAGTATTAATAATAATAATAATTTGGTAAAGCATTCACCGACCAAAAGTACCGTAGTAGCTTTCATTATCAGTCCATGATTTATAAAGCCAACTGCGTAATTTTAAAGAAAACTTGCGGTAAATTTTATATCAAATAAAACACCCCTTTGAGGTAAAATTTTCTAGTGACGAAAGCTGAACTAGGAACACAAAATTTATGATATCAATTTCGTGACGAAAATTATACGCATTTTTTAACTGCCTTGGAAACGTAGGGAAAATCTATTTATTCATACGAATCGTTGCAAAAGTTCTCTTTTTTATTTTGTGTTTCTAGCAGAAAACGCAACGTTCCGAATAAATAAAAACAGATTTTCCGTACGTTTCAAAGGCAGTTAAAAAATGCGTATAATTTTCGTCACGAAATTGATATCATAAATTTTGTGTTTCTAGTTCAGCTTTCGTTACTCGAAAATTTTACCTCAAAGAGGTGTTTTATTTGATATCAATTATTTTGGGGTAGCAAATTTAAAATCGACCAAAATACAAACAATAATCTAAATGTTTTATTTTTCTCAAATAAATTGCCCAAAATATTATCTAAATATAAATTGTGTATTCAAATCGATGTGTCCATTGAAACACATAATTTTTCGAATACGAAACAAAGCGAAAAAGAATGATCATATATATCCTTTGTATTCGAAAAAATTAAAAATTAAATATGTAAGAAATGATAAAAACTTATCAACTTGGTACCAACTTTGGATACAATAAACAACTATATTCATCTGATAGTTTCGTAGTTTATTTTTGTTAAGATTTCTACCGGGTGTGGGGCGCACACATGTGCTCTTTTTAAGAAGTTTTATTTCTATCACGTGTACGGTGTTGCACTCGTGCCATTAAATAAATGCTTTTTTCTCAAGTAGTTTTGCTCAGAGGCAATTTATATATATGTATGTAAGTAGTAGCGGCACGTTGGGTGAACTCAATGCATTCATACCTACATATTTATGTACAACTATAGGTAATATTGTACGCGTCTTCCCAGGTAGGTTAAGTGCTCTAAAATACACACAAATTGTGGTTGCCAAGACATTTAGGAAGTGATTAGCACAGCTGCATCATTCAACTTGTCAACTCGCGGAAAATTCCCCGATTTTCAGGGAATTTCGGTTTAAGTGGCAATCGGGGAATGGGCAATTTTTTTTGGGGAACTGGGTATATTATTTTTATGTCTTAAAGTAACCAAATTAAACGAATGTGTTAATTTTTAACCATTCGACCCTTTTTGGAGCGAAATTTTTTTAATTTGAATCGCAATATCTCCACAACAAGAGTTTTCCCAGATGTAAGCTGTATACCAGATGAAAGCTAAGGTTTTGGGCTAGATTTGTAGAAACCTTGAATAAAATCGACTGACCAGTTTTTGAGAAAATGCCCGAATTGTATATTTTCAGCAGCCCGATTTTTAGTTTTCGGGCGATAACGTTATGTCATATTTATATTTTATAAACAAAAAAGACAGAGTCAGATAGCCTGTTTGAAGACTCTTCTACTGATATCCACATCAATGAGATGGACTGAGTAGTGCGGCCTCAGTGGTAGTTTAAAAAATTGCCTTATTTCCAATTTCAGGCAGCCACCACGCCCACAAAGGCAT